ATTTTTATGTAAGTTATATCTATTAATATCTATTACATTAGAAATAACAAAGCTGGGGGTGGTGGCACAGCTCTACTCCCCACATTTTCGAGGCTGATGCAGGAAGTTTGCTGTGAGTTTGAGACCAGCCTGGGCTAAAATGTGAGTTCCAGGCCAGCCTGAACTGCATAATGAAACCTCAAAAAGACAATAAAAGAAAAAAAAAAAAACCCAAAAAGAAAATTTTATAATATTCATGCATCAAAATACTAAGTCCATAGACATTAATAGAAATAACATGTAGTTATGAAATAGTATTTCTCAAAAAAATACTTAGTAGGGTATCAGTGTTTAGCAATTTTACAAATCTCTCAAAGGTTTCATTTTGTGGAATACTGCTGCTTCTGCACTGCTAAGCATAAATTGCTTTGGTTGAAGTATATGGAAAGAAACCTGGCCTTACACAGGTAATTTCCAGTACTGAACCAAAACCCAACAAGTAGTAGTTTCTTAAGAGTCAGTTGCAATGTGAAATACTAGCCGCATCAGTAAACATTCATATAGTACTGTTAAAACCCAATGTCTATCTTGCCTGTCTTGGTTACTTTTCTCTCTTGTTGGGACAAAATATCTGACGCCCAAAATTAAGGAAGGAAAGGTTTATTTCGCTTACAGTTTGTAGAGGTTTCAGTCCATACTTGGCAGATTACAAGGCAGAGTGGCACATGGCAGAGGGCTACAGCTCATGGTGACAGAACACAGCAAAGCAACAAGCACACCCACAACGGCGGAATGGCCTCAAGCACCCTCTTCCTCTCCCTTACATATGCAAACTATCCACCCCAGGGCAGGTGCAGCTCTCACACCCATAATCAATCAAACTCTAAGAGCCTGCCCCATGGCTGCATGAGGCTTTGGGGGGACACCCAGACACAAACCATAACATTGCCCTTCCCAGTAGTGTTATGGTTCTATATAGAGTTTCCCCCAGGAGCCTCATGTACTCAGACGCAGGGCTTTTGGTAGGTAATTGGATTCTGGGGCAGACAGCTGACTTGCTAAAAAGGGTGGGGTCCAGTTACAGCTGAGTCCCTGGGCAACTGACCTGGAAGGCATATTTCTCCTTTCAGCTCCTCCCTCCTTTCTACTTCAGGGTCACCATGACATCAGCAACTCTCCTCTGCCTAGGCCTTCCGCCATGCAGCTTCTATATTTGAGTTTGCTGTACAAGACCTGAAACTTCTGAAATGTGAGCCCAAGTGAACTTCTCCTTCTTTAAACTGTGGGCCTTGGGCATCTCATCCCAGCAATGAGGAGTGACTAAGACAAATAGATATTTGTTAACATTACCCATTTGGGGGAAAATGTTAGTTCACTGAATAATTCAGATCTCCCAACTATTGACTTATTTCACCCTTCAGTAGAAAAAGCAAGCAAGTTGCCTATCGAGCCCTCAATCTAAGGGGCAGGACGGTGTGGGAGAGGAGACGCATCGAAGAGGGCTGCCACGGGAAACCATGACCTCCACGAAGCCAGAGATTTTGTCTACAAAAGGAGGATATGCAGAGTGGCATGGAGATTAGAGACGGTGGATGCAGAGTGAACTAGGAGAGCTGGCACAGCAGGCAGCTGACAGAAAGAGCAATACCGGGCATTAGGGCGTTAGCCAGACAGTCCCAGAGCAGTGAGTGATCCAAGGTTTTGGCAGGAGGAGGGACCTGCAAGATGTCCTAGAGCTCTTGGGCTTCCACACACCTTGCAAGCTGACCAGGAGGCCTGACGGGTTCGTTTCTATCAACACTCTGCAAAATGATTTCAGCTACTCAGTTTTGTTCATTTTTGAAAAAATTTTTTTAAAACATACTACAGTTATGTAATATGACAGAAAGTATGGATAAGAAATTATTCATCTAATCAAACAAATCTTTCTTCCGCTACTTTAGCAAACATAGGTTTTGGCTTTTAAATAGCGTTGTAATCTCAAGTTATTTTGCTTTTCAAATTTAACATTGCTACTGTGAGCTTTTCCATGTTACCATGAGGGCTTGAGATTTTCACAGAATGCATACTTTTCCATGAAGTGAATGTCATAATTTACTGTTGTTTCAATGATTGTTCAGAATACTGTTAAGTCATTTCACTTTAGTAACAATGAACCCATTAATAAACATTTCTGTGTAAATTTATCTACATGCTAGAACTAAATGAACGTGAATAGCTTCACATTAGCCAAGATACTAAAACAATATACGAAAATTATTAGAAAGGCCAAATGAACTATAAAGATATTTGAAAAGTGTTCTGTTTCATTCTGCTTAGAAAAGCTTACTCTACCTTTACAGCTAGGAAATACTCAAAATCAGGAAAAGGTCTGAAAAACATTGACTCTCCAAGCCAACAAGGCCTTGCTGATGGGAGGGTACGGACTTATGGCATCTCGCTTTGCATCCATACAGCAGCCAGAATTCACTTTTCATTGCCTCACTCTGCACTAAGAGGTGCGCTAAACACCAGAATTGATTTAACCTGTCACCCTTACAAGCTTGGAAAGTGGCAAGCTAGTAAGCATTTTCAGCATTATGATCTGTTGTAATTATTCAGCTCTGCCATGGTGGTACCAAAAGAGATACAGAAAATATGTAAGCAAACAAATGTGGCTGTGTTCCAGTAACATTTTATTTACCAAATCACGCCGTGGGGTGGCTTTGGCTATAGGGCCGTAGTTTGCCAGTCCTGTAATAAAATGCTTGACCTTTTCATCACAAGCTTGTCTTTCTGAAGGAATGAGATAGCAAGTAGAGATTAAATTTGTAAACTATGACTTTCGATGTTTTATTTTGGTACAGAGAAAAATCTGAATACCTGGATGTTTTGGTTGTACATAAAGCTCTAACTCGTAATGCCAGGCATGGCCAAAAGGAGCTAAGTGGCTATGCAGCTGGCCTGACACCGTCTTTTCTCCTGATGTCCTTCTGACAGTCTGCTCGACTCCTCTGAGAGCATGCTTGCTGAGGCTCCCCGGGCCCATCTCTGATCAGTAACTTCACAAACCCGACATTTAGTTACTGTGCTCCTTTGAGAACATGGGACACAGGACACAGGCGGGGCACAATGACTAATCTACATTAAGCAATAAGAAACTAATTCCTCTGTAGGATCAAGACACTCACCCTTGACCACCCCTCAGAGGGACTGCTTCACAGTTAAACTCCCACGCAGCGGCCTCATTTTATACTGCTGTACAGCGGCAGCAGCTATTTCTTGAACAGCTTTGTGCAGTGTATACTCCGTTGGGTTCTGTTTTCTTGGAACATTTCTCTCCGAACGTTCTCTTCACAACACCCTGTTCTACATGCAGGTGACTACCATATATCACAGTCAGATGAACCCCGCATATTTCAGCGTAATAATGGGAACAAAATGTATTTTCTTTATGGAAATAAAGTGAATTGGTATCTGTAAATGCTCATCTGCCCACATGGAAGGACACCGTATTTATCACTGTCAAGGGCTATGGACTATGCATTTTTCACAGCAGTTTATAACAGCAGAAATTCCAATTGAAGAGCTAATGTTTGGATGCTGTTGTTTTCATAAAGTGCTAGGTACACAAATCAGAATGTCCCAGCATGGGAAGTCTCACTTCAAACAACAGATCTCACTATGGCTGGGCCAGAACAAAGTCAAGTCACTGGGTGAAAACCCCATGAACATAAAACAAAGAGGTTTAAGGAGAAATAACTTTTGAGAAATACACTTTTAAATAGTAAGAAATAGTCTTTATTTTGCCACACCACCAACCCCTATTTGGTTTTTGGTCACTTAAAAAATCTACTACATCTTCTTTTATTTATTTATTTTTGGTACCAGGAATCGAACTCAGGACCTTGTGCTTGCCAGGCAGGCACTTGTGCCACTGAGCTATATCCCCAGCCCTACTACATCTTCTTGTGGGTCTTCTTATTTATCATCCTAATCTACTCATATTTGTACAGGAAGTCATTTAAGACAAAACATAAAGTACTTTAAATAAGAAGTCAAGTGTGGTGGCATTTACCTGTAGTCCCGGCTACTTGGGAGGCTGAAACAAGAGGGTCACTGAAGCCCAGGAGTTCAAGGACAGCCTGGGCAACATGGCAAGATCCCATTTCAAAGAAAAAAGTACTTAAACAGCAGGCACTACACATACTTAGGAATGGCCTGAATTTAAGTTCTGGTGAAGACAAATCGAATGGTTTAACTTGGTGGAAACAAATCATGCTCATGAGGGAAGACCAGAGTCTACATAAGGTCCAGATACCATTACATGCAGGCGTTTCCTGGACTTCTGCTAAGTCATTTTCCAAGAAAAACAAAAAGAATTTCTCTTTGATATAGACTCTGTCATTTTTAATACAGTATTCTATTGTAATCTTACCTGCCTTTTTGAGACAGAGTCTCACTATATAGTTCAGACAGGCTTTGAACTCACTGTGCAGCATAGGCTGGCTTCAAACTTGAAGTGATCCTTCTGTCTCAGCCTCCCAAGTGCTGGGATTATAGGTGTGGGCTACCACACCCAGCTCTTGCCTATTCTTGTACTAGGGTGATAATTACTACCTGATGTGGTAGTTGATTCTCACACTGATCAAATGCAAATGCCATGTAGTCTTTAGAAGGGGCCCTTGATGCACAATGATATTTACTGCACATTTCTAGGTGCCAGGCACCCATCTAAACACTTGAAATGTATTAACATGAACCAGCACATTTATGGAAGGAGAAAGGGGTTCAGGAGAGGAAAGTCAATCACACTGCGTTAAGAGTGAGGGTCAGGGCCAAAGCCACATACTGAGCCCAGAGCCCTGTGCTGCTCAACACAATGCTAAGCTGCCCGGTCCATGCTGTATCTTCACAGGGAACCAGCTGGTGCTCTGCACTGTCCACCGCTACTGTTCCCTAAAAGTGACTCCTCTGTTAACACTACATTCTTCTGACTTCACAAAAGGCCTAAGTATGCAGAAATATTTTTTAATGTGAACAGTTATATACATTTTATTGAACGCTTTTCCTTCTGTGTTTCAAACAATCAATGAATGCAAATGACACAACTTGTAGAGTGATACAAGTGTATTATATGTTTAACCTCTGCACACAAATCTCATTGAAAAAAGTAATGTACTAGTAAATAAGTACACATTTATCCTATTCTTTAAAAACTTATATGAAACATAGAGTAAACACATTGAAATTAGGCTCCTGGACAGTTCTAGAAGTCTAGGGCTAAGAAATATTCAGAGAGGGAAGGGTCTACAAGACGGGAACTACAGTGTGCTGGACAGAAGGCTAATGCTTGCTTTCAGCCCCTTACCTGTGTGCTAACCCGTAACACCTTGATACTGCAGCAAATACAACGAAAAATTACTCCTCCAGGGAGGAAATGTTCGGTAAAATGTACTTCCGGTTACTAGGTTAACAAAAATATTGTTTAAAAAGTAATCAATTATTATTGTTTAAAATCTGTAATAAGAAACTTACTAAAAACAAGAAGACAGTCACTGAGTGTAGGCTGAGGTGCATGATTATCAGGGCAGCTACACTCAACAGACTTGCAGTGGGTTAAACCTGGCTGCACAGCCATCGCAAAACATTACTGTGGACCTGCAGGGTCAGTCACCCTGTCCCCAGCACGGCCAGCAGACCCTTCCTGTGCTTCTCTCACCGAGGGGACTTAGGACAGGGTCACCATTAATGGACTCTGGGAAAACCCCCTCCCCTCCCCTGCCCTCCCCTCCTCCTAACAACTGCAAGGAGCTGTGCTATCACGGCTTTCTCACTGGAGACCGTAAGTCTGAGTTGAATTATTCAAGGTCAGCGTCACAATGAGAGAACGAGGATCTTTCTTATTCTTGTGAACTGTGATTTTCCCTTTTAAGGATTCACCTGTAAAAGAAAGGCAAAAAATGTTTTATGAATTCAAGGAAAATAGTCTAGCAGAGAAGAATGACACTAGCAGCTGAAATTACAAGCATCAGTACCATACCCAGTTTAGATTTCAATTTGCGTGTGTGTTGGGGGAGGGGGATGACAGTAGTAGAGATTGAACCCAGACAGAGGCTTTGGATTGAGCTACATTCCCACCGCTTAATTTTTCATTTTGAGACAGCGTCTTGCTAAATCTCAAGCTGCTGAGGTAGAAAGATCACAAGTTAGAGCTGCGCCTCCTGCTTGGAGTTCTAACTTGCGACCCTTCTGCCTCAGCCTCCCAGGGTGCAGCATTACAGGATCAGCCACCACACCCAAAATAGACTTTAATATGGTAGAGCAGTTTTCTGTTTCAGCAATTTTTGAACAAAGTAAGAACCACATGCCAGTTACCACATCCTTGTGAGAGACTGAGCAAGCCCACAGCGGGCAGAGTGCGAGGGGCAGCTGTATTAGCATCTGCATGGGAGGCTGTGGTGGGCAAGTTCTGGCCATAGAGCACACAACAGGATGAACCCCCTCTCAGAGGCCAAGGTCAGGGGTGGAGAAAGGGTGCACCATTAGGGACCTAATCCTCTGTCTGCAGCAGGCGGTGAGGGGTGGGGAAGGCTGGCAGGCAGCAAAAGCAAAGGTTTCCTGAGAATTACCCAGCGAAGCACAGGCTGGGCTCATGTTACGTTCAGCAGGGTGAAGGACTGTCCACATAGTACAGTTAAGGGAGAGAAAACACATAAAGGCATCTAGCAAACCGCACCGAAAGAACTGAAATTTTCAGTTAGGGGAATTTTTTGAAAATTCTATTGTGGCACATAACAAGGCTGCTGGCCTTTAATGTATGGACACAGTAAATAAACAACTCACACAGGTAAAATAATGAGCACAAAAACATTATGTATCTGTCGAAATGTAAAGGCTGATTTCCTAAGAATTTATTTGGCTTCATTTTATTCCAAAATGGAATTCATGTATTTTTCTAATTGCAAACATTTCTCATTTAATTTTTTCATCTATTTGCAAAGTGAATTTAAAAATAAAAGAATAGATTACTCAGCTGTAATTGGTCACCACTCCTTACGTTCATAAAGATATGGCCACACTAACAGATTCAGGATTAGCTTCACAACATGGATGGACAAAGCGACCGACACTCTAAAATGATGCAAAATCGCTGTGAAACTATCCAAGCACTGAGTCAATATGCGTATCACTTAAAAACAAATTTCAACTCCCCCGCTTCAGGGACAATGAATCTGTTCCCATTCCAATATGGCAGGGAAATAACACTACAAAACACAACAAAACCAGCAAATAGCTTTCCGAATACAATGATGCCATTAATAATGTATTCTACGCATCTCTGCAAACAAGATGAGACACATAATTTAATGTAAGATTAAGGAATTCAAAGTAAGAAAGGAAACCCAAGGTGCATTCCATTCAACAAAATATACAATTTTATGTGCAGGTGTGTGTGGACATGTGGCTTTGGCTTTTGTATCTTACTTTTCGGTATTAATGAAATGAAACAACCAGGTGTACCAGGCTCCCCTACAACAGACACGACAAGGGTTAACAGGTGGTTCTACAGACTGCACAGAACTCAGGTTAATCACTAGCTAATACTAATTTACGCTAATATTTACTCAACACTTATCTGTGCTAGGTTCTATCGTACAGCCTCTCAGTGATTTATCTCACTCAGTGCCCACAAAATACCCTCAGGGGTGGGTGTCTCTCCCTTCCTTTACAGACTGTGTCCCATTCTGAGTGAAGCAGGTAATTGTGGCAGCAGCAGGCCTTGAAATGGTGTTTGATTCTCAGTCCGAGCTCCTCAGCTGTGCTCCAGGGCCCCAACTCTCTGGCAAATGATGATCAATAAAGTGTATTTCACAACATGGATGGACAAAGCGACACTCAAGTAAAATGATGAGTAAATATTAGCATAAATTATTATTAGCCAGTGATTAAGTTCTGTGCAGTCTGTAGAACTACCTGTTAACCCTTATCCCCCTGTTGTAGGGCAGCCTGGTACACCTGGTTGTTTTATTTCATTAATATAGAGAAGTAAGATACAAAAGCCAAAGCTTTAAATACACTGCATTGGGAATGTGATCTTTCTTGGTACAGATATTTAGATACCTGTTTATTTAAATATTGTTTTATAGTTATCCTACCATATCTTCAATAAATTGTACTTTTTTTTAAGTGTTAAGGCATTAACCTGGGGGAACACAAGGTCAATATCATCAATAAATCTAATAAAATTTTTAATTTTGAATATGCAGGCAGTATCTGTGCATCTGTTTTTAAACCAACTTTTTTTTACATAGGGTCTTACTATGTAATTCAGGCTGGCCTTGAACTCACTGTGTAGCCCAAGGTGGCCTCAAAATCATGGTGAACCTCCTGCTTCAGCTTTAACCAACACTTTATAACTGGAATTTATACCAATGAGCTTTCCCTAAACTTACCTTTTACTGATACTGAAGCTAGGAGGGATGGCCACTTAAACTGCTACTGTTTTTACAAGATTATGAGAGAGAATAGCAACTTGGATATTAGGGTTAACTTACTGTTACGGAATTACCAGCTGCTGATTTTCACAAGTTAGTGGCTTGATGGTTTCTGTCTTATAAACAGGGTATTTTAGTGTAAGTCACTTAATTTATAAAGTAGTTCATATGTACAAGACGGATAATGTGTATGCGAGATTTAAAAACCATAAAACCACCTCTGCAGACCCAATAGTAGGCCCAGGACCTTATCACAGCACCAACACATCCCTCTTTCCACCAACCTCCAAGGGTAACCATAATTTGGACTTTTTTGTTCCACTGCCTATTCAGAATAGTTTTACTTCATGTAGATTTAGCCTTAAAATCTGTATGTTACTTAACAATATACTGCTTAGTTTTTACATGCTTTAAAAGTTACAAAAAAAACCACTGATTTCGTATCTGCTGTGACACACTACTTATTTCATTCAGTGTTTGTGACACAGACCTGAAACAAGTAGCTACAGTTCACCGTTGTTCGCTACGGTCTAATATTAAACTATAGCAACAGACTGGTATCATTCATTTTCCTCTTCAGTCGTTTGCGGTCTCCCTTATTATAAGTGATGCCAAGTACCAAAGTTTTGTTCAGTGTTGGATGCACACGTGATGGCATATATGGTATCACAGAGGCTAGGGGTGTAGGCTTATGGAGTGCGCACTATGATGTCTGCCCAATGATGAAACTGCCCAACAGCATGCTTCCCAGAACATACCCCTGAGCGACCCATGACTATCTCTTGGCCTTCATATTAAGGAAGTACTATATACTTTTTCTAGGATGTAAAACACTGGATCATAAGGTACACAGATGCTCAAATTACCATTAATGATCACAAATCCTTTAGTAAATGTTGGCATTAACTCATAAAAGGTCTCTACCCTCTGTAGAGAATAGCAAGTTCTGAAAGCAAACATGAGAAAATGCAAAAATAGCAGCATTTAAAGTAAAACCAGCAAAGATACTGCTGACACTATACTACTTTATATAAATTTTGGATGCTCCAAAGCAGTATGACAAGAAATAGTGAAAGTAAGGATAAAATGTTAGGGAGGGGGGAAGAAATTAATTTCAGATAACATTTTCAAAGAGAGTTTCACAAATCTGCAGTCTCCTTTGGATGTTAGCTAAATACTAGTCTGTGCATTGCAGTGTGAAATTATGAAGAAAGTTTTATGTAACTACATTTGTTTTTGTTTTTTATTTTTTTGGTACAGGAATCGAACTCAGGAGAAGATAATCGTATAAAGCAAGATAGTTTTTATAAAATAATGTTAATTCCACTTTGGACAGTAGTGAAGACTTTAAATCTGAATTTTGAATCAGTTCCTTAACATGTAACTTCTTCATAGAAACATGAAATATATTCTACTTTTTACATCCCTATCATCTTCGTTAACATTGTTATTAGAAACGAACCAACTAAACAAGCAAAAAGAGCAAAAGTAAATGAAACACTTTTGTTATCTAGATAAACAAAACCCAGAACCTAGTTATTCTGATGTGCATGTCAGTGATTAGAAGGGGTATTATCTCAAATGTAACACAGTCTAACATGTTTGGTGCGCCTAAGTGATTTCCTTGATGTGTACGAGGTAATGCTGCTAGTGCTTCTTTCAATGTATTTCCTCTAATGGCTGCTATTCTTTCATGAGGTTGCATTTGGAGTGTTTAGAGAAAAAAAACTACATGGGTTTGTTAATTTTCTATTCAATCCTTAGTAAAAGAGTGAAAATGGAAATATTCTATGGTGCTTCCAAAGCAGGTTATCACACTCATTTCACTTTCAAAGAACAGACCTTTGAAGAGCTTATATACTCTTCAGAAATGAAGCCCAAGTCAACATGAACTAGTAATGGGTATCTCCTTTCTGCTTTTTTTTTTTTGCAGTGCTGAAGACTGAAACCATAGTCTTGCTCATGCTAGCTCTATCACGAGCTACACACCCAACCCTAGTAATATTCCTGTGAAATTTTTACAGAAGAAAACAATTTAAGCATCAATATGAAACAAAATTGATTTAATTAAATGGCAGGAAGGGTCACAGTAATAAATACATAATTCACACTGCTAAACTGCTTCAATTGCTGAGGCCTAACTGAAGTGCCAAGGCACTGGCATAACAGCACAACAGATCAGAGTAATTAATCAGTGTCACACAGATAGAAAGTGACTGATGTTGTTAAGTGTGTATATTGTGATGAGAGCTGCAAAGGATACTCTCTGGAGCTGAGCAGTAGTATCCTGTTTTTTATCACTGACAGACAGCGATTAGTATAACACAAAGTAGCTGCAGTTCAATCAAGAACAAAATTGATTCCATTTCCATTCCGTTAGAATGTTTTTCAAAATTAATTTCTTCCAGAGCACTGAAATTTCATTCCCCAGAAAGAGAAAAGAAA